TCGAAAGACACTATAAACTCACTTGGATCAGGCTTCCTGCAGTTCTCCTTTGATCCCGGGTACGCTGTGATGATGCCTCGAGGCGAGTTTATTCGCCAGCTCGTGCATCACGTCCCGGTATATCACCGTGTCCAAATTCTCGCCCAGCATGTACAGAAGAAACCAATCGCCGACTTTGCTCCGCCGAACTATCGTCTCCACGGCATCTCTTCTCACCAAGCGAAACCGCAGTCGCAGAAGGTACACCCTCGTCCGTGGCGAAAATATAATTACGATCTACAATGTACGACAGAGAGAGAGAGAGAGAAAGACAATTGACGTACACATGTCGTACGTGTATCAACAATTTATATTACATTGCAAAAAAAAAAAAAAAAAACACTTGCCTCGATATAATTTAGTACTAGTACAATATAATAGTGACTAGTAACAGTATAATTAGTATTGGGAAGAATTGAAAAGATATGCAGGTACAAAGGAGGATTAAAACGGCAAAGGGAGGAAAAGAGAGTTAGTTACCCTGTATAAAACCGTGATGAAGCTGAGCACGCCGAGGAAGAGGAACCAGAACCAAAGGAAGACGTAGATCTTCTCGTTGACGACGTTCAGGGGCAATATGCAAACGGCGTCGTGCCTCTCCACCTCGCCGCTCACGCCGTATTTGTAAAAGGTGCACTTGGTCATCCTAGGGAATACGTAGATCATCGGGTCGACCCGGTCCTCTTGATCCGACTCGAGGAACCTGAGCACGTCGATGCCAAACGTGAGAAACGCACCGTCGAAGAACCGGTTCATCAGGAACATCTGACCTGCGCAAATTCAATTTTTCCCCCTTTTTTTTCCTTTGTTTTCTTTCTCTGCGTTTCACTTCTGCGTGAAACAGAAAAGAACATTCGGTAGGTTCGGTTCGTTCGGTTCGTTCGGTTCGTTCGGTACGAAATGGCCAGAACGAGAATACTCGAGCGCACGGAGAAGCGAAGCTGTGTGCTGTGTCGACGACAGTTGAGCTTCCTTCCTCTGGTTGAAAGGAAACGTTCGGTTGGCCGGTTAATCGGCGTGTATTGGCACAGGTGGTCCGTCGTTGTATCGTTGCCAAACTTTCAATCGTGAATCGTTCATTCACCGCCGGCTGCCTGTTGCCAATCACGCTTCTTCGAGCCGAGGGCGAACTGCACGAACCTGGCGAACGAGCGCAAACGAGCGCAAACGAGCGGAAGAAACCGCACCGAGAAGCAGTCGAGAAGCACCAGCAGAGCAGTCGAGATTCTCTGATTCTCTCCTCTGTTTGTTGACGAACAGAGTCCGATTTTGTTATCGGCAAAGCTCGGCCGTTGGATCATTTCGCCTATATATTACAGCAACATCGTGAACCAACATTTTCGGTTTGATGTGTCGACAGCCGAGAGAGCTCCTGCTCGTCCATGCTTGTTTATGCTCGTTTGTTTTATGAATTTACATACGGCGATATTACCCGGCGGAATTAAATTTAGACTGCAGATTTGCTTGTGCAATCACGAGCGAAAGTATAATACAAAGGTAGAGCTTCTCTCCCGCGTGTCCGCGCTATCACATCCGCTATCTATCACATCTCTCGCGCAGAGATAAAAATGGTAAACGAATTTCAATGCGATCTCGTGGCGCATTAATGCAATTAAAAAAGAAGAGAAAGAAGAAGAAAGAGAGAGAGAGAGAGAGAGAAATCCGCTTGCCAGGCGAGATTACAGAAAACTTCCTGATCGGGGGAGGGAAAGGTATTAACGCAACGTGCGAGGAGATCCGTGCCACTTTGAAATCCGTCAACCAACGAAGAAATATAGAATCGTTAAAAGAAACAAAGCAAATAAGTAACAGAAAGAAGATAAACATATCGGCCGAGTTGAGTTGAGGCGGGCACGAGCGTAAACGGCTAGGGGAAGACAAATAGGAAAATTTTGACGGGCGAAGAGAAACATACAGAATGGCTTTCTGCGGGAAACCGAGGGGAATTGTTTGAAATTCGAAATAACCTCGAAGAAGTGCGTGGCCGGTTGCGTGGTGGTAACTCACGTTGCGACGTTTCTGCTCTCGTTATCATCTCGAAAGAGAAAGATGTTGGAGATTTAAAAAGAGAAAGGCTTCTTCTTCTTCTTCTTCTTTATCTTCAATATGACTGAGCACACGTTTGCTGCGAAAAGACTCGACTGGACTACTTTGGAAAAGTTGGAAAATCAAAGTCTTTCCTTCCGCTGCCACCGATTTGCCAATTTAAAAATAACTAAAAAAAGAAGGCAAAGGAACCAGGGGGTTTATTCGCTCGTCAAAGAGACGCGCGGCGGAACGCTGAAGATCAAAGACTGCTTAGACGCGTATTCTTGGAAAACTGTCGCACTGTGGCGAAGGGAAACGAATTTACGAAATAAACATACACGTACACGCGAGAGAGATATTCGTGGAAGATGGCACAGCCGGTTAAAAATCGACGCGAGTTTGCGAAAAGAAAAATGGAAAAATAGAAAAGAAGCGAGGTTGCAACGCTACTACCGCTTTGTTCTAAACAAAGCCGATTCGCTGAACACCGCGTGTAATTTTGAAAAATCTGCACAGTCAGAAAGTTATCCTCCTTCTCCCATAGAAATTCGAAACAAAGACAATTTTGATTAAAAAAAAAAAAAAAAAAAAAAAAAAAAAAAAAATGGGCGACGAGCAATCAGTTTCTTACCATACGAGTTCACTTTGCAAACTTGATACCGGGTGTATCAACTATATTACAGTATATGTATATTGCAGTATCACTTGTCCATTGAATGTTCAGACGAATGACAATGCAAGCGTATTCGGCGTATTTTGAAACGACGTGGAACTACGTTACCGGCATTCGGCTAAAGAATTTCAAACGAGACACAGGACTACATTATCGATGGGGTTTGTGGTTGACAAGAAACGTGAGCGTGCAACGAGCTTTGGCAAGGGGATGAAATTTGAAATTTTTGCAGAGATGAAAAGAAAAGAAAAGTAAAGAAAAGAAAAGAAAAGAAAAAAGAAGAAATGGCGAGAAAGGAGAGAAAGGAACTCACCGATCACATTCAGCAGGGCAAGAACTTCGCAGAGGTAGTACCTATAAGCCCACCAATTGTGAAATCGAAGGTTCTCCCACAGATAGTCGAGCAACATTTTCTTCTTCTGCTTCTTCTCCACCTCGGAACAGAGGCCGATGTCGAGATCCATCATCAAAGCGTGAATCTTGCCGCCCTCCCATCCTTTCCACAGCCATCGAGGCGTGTAGAAGAGAATCGCCTGGAAAGAAGAAAAAAAATGTCCACCGTTTTAACGCGATCGTATATAATAGACGCGTTTTTAGACTTGCTCGTTTGCAGTTGCAATCACGAAAACGAATTAATTAATAACAGCCAAGCAGTGCAGTGGAGCTATTGGCTAGAAAGAGAAACTAGACGTTTGCAACCAAGTCGCGACAACTTGGACGAAAAGAACTTTTTATTCGTTAGACTGAGGATAAATGGACGAACGATTTGTCGATTGTGGCGGCCACATAGATCTCGATCAGCCATGGATCATCACGAACGTTGTATCACACACACACACACACACACACACGCACTCGAGTTCTTCTCGAAAGCGCGTTGGCACGCGTGCATTTAGCCTCGGCACGAAGAAATACGATAAAATCGCAATAAACGGCGCCATTGTTTCCCGCTGGTTTCGAATTGATTAATTGCTGTTGATCCGAGAGAGCGATTCATTTGCTTAGCGAGCGGACGGAAAGAAAGGGTCGTTAAAAGTTTCAATCGCCGTTTTGTTTGCCATCGGTACTTTGCGATCGACGGAGAGAGACGGACTCGTGTCGATAAGATAAATAAAATTTATCCTACGGATAATTATTTGATCCGAGATGCAGATGCAGATCGGGTCGAATGGAAACCAAAGCTATCGCTGGGAGGGAGCAGTGGCCTTGGTAATTTAATTTAATTTAATTTAATTTAATTTAATTCGATTGTCATTTTTTGCCAACTGTTTGTATCTTTTTTCTGCAATTTGCACGATATCGTGTAAAAGTCTATCGAATTTATAAATATATATTGTCGCGGTTATCCTTTATTACTTGGAGGATGATTTATTCTGTTAGAGTTTCAAAACCTCTCGAGAAGGGACTGTAGTTGGAGCGCGAGTTAGTTGGTGGTAGGAAACGATTATGTTAAAAGGCAGCGGCGCGTAGCCATAGTTTGATTGACGGATGACCTGTGATGATTCGTTGATTGTTTGCGATCGAGACGGTGAGACAGAAGAAGGAGCGCAGATATCTAGAATATCTAGATCGTGAAACGAGACAGAGAACAACTTGCAGCCTTCATACTTGCAGTAGCAGAAAGAAGATGACCCACTGATAATACTTGTGCTGTTTGACCAACGGATGGGACGCGTGGCCGTGCATGCCGTCCCCTTTGCTGTTGGAAACGCCGGGATACGGCACCGCTTGTCCCAGGCTCATGTTGAACGCGTGCACCATGCTGTAGGTGGTGTGAAGCCAGCAGAAAGTCTCCAGGACAACTTTATCCACGGAGCCGGAGGCCTCGCAGTGAATCGGCGAGCCGGAGATGCTCTTGCACGCCAGCGTCACGCAGCCGCCGAGCAACAGTGCCACCGTTGCGCGATAATGCAGCCGAAATATCATCGTGTCCTCGCAGATCCGCTGAACTTTGAACAGCGACCTCAGCGAGCCGAACACGTCGATCATCTTCAACAAGAGAGGCATTTTTCTACCTTTTTCCACGACGCCGTGGACCCTCGATTCCAAGATTAAAGGTAACTCCTCCTCCTCCTCCTCCTCCTCCTCTTCCTGCTTCTCCTCTTTGCTTTCCAGATTCGTTTCTCTCTCTCTCTCTTTCAGAAATATCTCGATATAATTTTCTCGCTACAACGACTGGAGGATCAAGTGACTGTTTGGTTCTTGCACAGCTCTTCCATAATTGTCGGAGAATTCTTCTTTTCTCTCTTCTTTTTCTTTTTCAAGTCGAAACTCGGATTTGCGTTGTCGAGAATTCTTGACAGATACTTTTCCCAGAGTAAGTGTTACGTAATCTTTAGTTTATCAAATCGATCTGATCTGAGCGTCGGAGATGTTCCTGTACCTTGATCGTGTACCTCGGGATTCGTTGAAATCGGACAGCGAGAAAATTGCGGAGAAACGATGCTCGTTGGAAGACTCATCTCCTCTCTCTCTCTCTCTCTCTCGAGTCTCGCTTCTACACTGAAAAATCTGTTCTTCCAGTTTTTCTCATTTCTTCTCTTTCTTTCGTCCAAAGTGACGCTTCTCTCTCGTAACGCAATTGGTAAGAAGCAGCAAGATGATGATCATTTGCAGGTCTGATCTCCCTCGTAACTCGTCGGCGACGCACTAAAAATCAAGGGCGAACCGAAACGTGTGTGTTTCGAGGATCGAGACGGATCGAGACGGATCGAGAAGAAAACGGGGGTCGAGCCGAGTATTCGGACACGGTGACAGACAGACGTGGGGCGCGGAAGCAAGCCGTTTGAAGACTGGCCGAAGACTTGAGAGGCATCCCTTGGCCTCGATGCTAAACACATAACTTATACTTGTATGATCTATGTATCTTTCTCTTGTCTCGTCAATGAAGTTGTACGTGCAACGTTCTTCGCTCCTGTTTTTGTTCTTCTTCTTTTTTTTTTTGTTTTTTTTTTTTTTTTTTT